GAAGGGACATGCCCAGGGTCTCGCACACAAAGTCAGGGGCAGAGTCGGGAATAGACCCCCGGTGTCCTGACTCCCAGCTCCCTCCTGCTCGAAGCCTCACTCGTTGCGATGCTCTAACACAGAGAGACTGGCCATTTCTCCCGCCCGCCCACACACGGCCCACCCCGTGGCAGGAGGGAACCGATACCAGCTGCCATCTTGTCCCCAGGCACATCAGCAGCGGCATTACCCGCTCCACATGTTCAAAAACCAGCAGTTGGCCCCAGAAGGTCACGAGACTGGCTCAAAAGCCAGGAGATTTTAAACAATTATAAGATGCAGGCTCTTGTCATTCACCTGCTGGATTGAGCTTTTGGGAGTGCAGGGGGCACATTTAAGGGCTTTTCACCAGGGCCAGGAGACCAGAGATTCTCCCCTATTCATCTGCCTGCAGCTACAAAAATAAACCCCTATCACAAGAACTGCAGAGTGTGTGTGTGTGTCTCTCTCCCCCCATCCGTCCATCTGGGGGATTGGCACTCATGCACTGGGGAGTGCACACTGGTGCACAGAAGTGAGTGCTGTGGCGTGTGACGCATGCTGGGTGCGTGCGAGTGACTGTTTTGGCCTGCCCTGGCACGCCCCATGGTGCTTACATTTGAACGTGTGTGTTTGCAGGTGCGTCTGAGCAGCAGGGGTGAGCAGAGTGTCCTTTGATGGGGGCGTATGTTTGGGCACGAGTGTGTGTTTTAGCATGGAGCTGTCTTCTCTGGTGTAGGCGGGAGCCCATGTCGATGGGGCTGCGTGTGCTTGAGCGTGGGCGTGCTTGCTGGAGCGTGAGCGTGCACGTGGGTGCATGCGAGAGCGTTGTGTGCACACTCCCCAGAGCAGGGCCCCGCGTCTCTCGTGTCGGAGCAGAGGCGATGCGCCTGCTTTCACGGATCGGTGCTGCAGGGAGCCTGCCGGCTGCAGGGCCCTGCTCCACAGCACAATATTGGCTCTGACAGGAAGCAGACAGTTAGCTCGGAGCAGTGGAGCAGCCGGAGCGGCTCCCGGGAGTTTCCGATCAGCTTCTCCGCCTGACCTGCCTTGTGCACCGGCAGCACGCTAGCTTTGCACGCCAGGACGTGTGAACTCGCAGGTCGCTCACAAGCAAAATTAGTTCAGCAGCCTCAGTGGTCCACAAACACAAGTTTGGGCTCCCGTGGCTGTCAGAGCTCGGTCCGGGAAGAGCAAAGTCTGCTAGCCAGGCCGGACAGGCCCAGAGCTCTGGTTATCGGTGTGGTTATTTAGCCGTCTCGGCTGGACGTTCCTGAGGTTCTGGGCTGGAGCAGGACTGGGATCTCACAGCTTCTGTCCCGTGTTTGCTTTGGAAGAGAGCAACCAGCCGATTCCACCAGTGCTGGAACAGCCGCTTGCTGTCAGAGGGCTCGGACGCCATCTGGATCGGCCGCACGCACCGCGCTGAGATCTCTCTCCCACCCACAGCTCTGGTTCTGACCCGCTCCGGTCGTGGGTACTAGGCTGGGAGTTCGGAGAGCTGGAGTCTGTCCCTAGCTCCGTCACTGACCGGAGCTCTATTTCTCCTCCCCCAGGGCAGACCACGCGCCAACGGCCTAGGGCAGGGCCTGCGTCTTACACAGCACAATGGGGTTTCCGTCTCCAGCCCAACACTAATATTAACAACCACCTGCCCTGGGATTTAAACACACGGTCAAGGGTTACAAACAAAGGAAAGTTCAGAGCTTGGGCCCAGAGGGTTTCTGGGGTGTTGGGCACCTTCCCATCTCACAGGCACTGACAGGTCACAACACACACAGGAACTGACTAACGAGACAACTTTTCCATAGAAGGCTCCCATGGTACTATACACAGGATAAATCCCTTCATCCACCATTGAAATGCAGCCACCTCTGGTGCAGAACATCTCAGCCACATAACGGTGCCCAGCAATCCTACACAGCTGTTTGGGACAGGAAGTGAGGAGAAAGCCCGCAGCCAATCGCAGCCTCCTGGGGGATGTTAGAGCTATCAGAATCGGAGTGTGGCTGGGACGCACCAGTGACTGCAGGAGAGCCAGAGCTAGGAACAGCTGCGTCCTCGTACCAGCACCGACACTGACTCACTCCGTGACCCTGGACGGGGCAGGGCGGGTCCCGTACCCACTCAGTGCCTCAGCTTCCCCAGCTGGGAAAAGGGATCATGATACCACCTGCTTCCCCGATCCTATTGCCACACTCTCCAAGCTGCTCCCCGTCCCTCTCTCATGGCTTCTCCCAGCCGAGCTCCCACCTCCTGCCCTCGGAAGGAACGTCCTCTCCCCTCCTTCCAAGACTCACATTCCTTTTCCTCACTCCTCGCTCCCCTCTCAGAGCCCTTGTCTGGCTCTTTGCCTGGAAGCCCCTCAGGGCGGGATAGGGTAGGTCAGTTCTCGCGCTGTTGCTTGGACAGTGCAGAGGCCACGGAACAGGTTAGGTGCCTCCAACGGGCTGATCCGAGGCAAACTCATTCATGGCTTTCGGGTGGTGGGGGGTCATGAGCTCATCCAACCCCAGGCCTGCAGGAAGATATGAAAACCCCGGAGCAGGCTCCACCCGCTCCAATAAGGTTGGCTCTGCCCCGCCCAGTACATTTAGCGCAGGGGGTTATGCTGCCTACCGGCGAGACGTGGCCATACGGTTGAGGTAACCGGTGCAATACCAAAACAGAAGCTGCTCGGACGAACCCTCCCACCACCAGGGAATACAACAAATCTCCGTGGAACTGCAGAGTGACAGCAAGGCTAGAATTAGGCCTTTTCCACCTGAGTTACAGGAGAGTCTCCGAGGCTGTTAACAGTACAGCGGAACAGCTCTGACTAGAGGGCAGTGGTGATCACATGCACCTGGTCCAATCTGTTACAGTATCAGTATTAGCATCCCAAACCGGCTACAGGTTAGTGACTTCCGGTGGCCTCCCTGGGCGCGCAGGGAGCCAGACCTCCAGAAGGGGCATGACACAAGGTCCTTCGCTGGCTGAGCCAGCGGGCAAGACGGAGCGAGATCAGCAAACGACACAAGGTCAAACCACGGCCAGGTCGCACTCCAGCCCCGCCTCGGCAGGGTCAGCCGCATGGCAGCCATCTGCCCCGGAGCACAGAGAACTGGGAGTGGGGACAGAGCCCCTCTCAGCTAGCTCTGAACTGCTCCTAGAGCGACAGGGGCCTGGGGCCAGATCGTCCAGGGCTCGGCACCCACCGTGCCCCCGCCACGCTGAGCCCCTCTGATAATCCAGCCCCGTGTCCAGGTCTCAGCCCACGTCCCACGGGGCGTCCTCACCACACTGCACTGCCGTGGCCCTGGCTTGGCAGCCTCAGCAGAGGGGCCTGGGAGCAAATGAGACATGAAGATAGGGTGCCACCAGGGCGGCGCCTTGCACGACTGCGGCCCGGGCTGCGTCTCAGAGGATCCAGCCCCCCGGGCCATCAACTCAGCACCTTTCGCCAGCAATACATTCGTAACTCCTCCCCCCCAGGCAGAGACAGACAGATCCACTGGCACCAGCCGATCCGTGCGCGCCCTGTCACCGCCCATAACCGGCGCCTCACGGTTAAAGCAACAATAGAGCTTCGTGTTCCAAATGCACAGATCCCGCCACTTCGGCCAGGGAGACTCCCCCTCAGCTGTGAGCAATACGGGGCTTGTGACACAGCTGGGCAGATCTGATTCCACCCACCAGAGATCAGTGGTGCACACATGTACACACACAGAGTGACATTACCGGGTACAGAGAGCTCAGCTCAGGACTCTGGACCCACACACTCGCCTCGCGGAGTATAGGGCGTAACAAGCCTGTGCCGCGGCTATGGGAGATGAAATAGGGGGCTGTGGGCAGCGAGGGGTGGGGTATGGAGGTGGAGGGAGAGAGAACCACCTGGCATCCTGCATGCCCAGGAATTCCCTAGCGCCCTGTACCTGGAGGAAGCCCCGTTCGGCTGGTGCACACACACCCCCAAGGTCGGGGTCCCCTACCCCGCTCTGGGTTATCCAAGCATGAAGCCAGTGCAGGCCAGCATGGCTGGGAGAGGATGTCTCCAGAGGGCTTGTGTTTCTCTGTCGCACATGCAAGACAGCGTGGGTGACCCGGATTCTGGGCCTAGGGCCAGATCAACCACCTGAGCCCACCAGCCCTGGCTCAGGCCTGATGCTCCAGAAAGGGTCACAAAGCTGGGGGAACCCTGGCCCACCCCCAGCCAGTGACCCTCTCTCACAGGTGAGGGAGACAGGAATGCTCCTAGCTGGGATCCTGCTCCTTCCCTTTGGCTTTTCCCATTCGCCCGCGAGTCTCTCCCCCGACCAACCTCCAGGTCTCTCCCCCGACCAACCTCCAGTCTCAGTCTTACCCCCTCCCCTGGAGTCTCTCCATGCCCCAGCCGACCTGGGGACCATCCCAGGAGCAAGACCCGACCCTTCTTGCCAACCCCCTGCAAGCTGGCACCCTCCATCCTGTCACCAGAACAGCCCCCTGCCCTGGGCCACCTGGGTTTATTCTGCCCTGACTCTGCTCAGGAATCAATGGGGCTGCATGGGGGGGCAGACATCAGCCCCTCTTGGGGTATCCTGAGCAGCCTGTGACTGAATGGGGGGGGGGGCTGGAAAGGCACCCAGGGGCGAGCAGATTCCACCAGGAACTCCCCCCCCCGCCCGGCCGACACTGGCACCTCCATTCCCCAGGCTCTGCCCCGCTGCTGCCACTCGGGTCCTCCCACGGGGGGGGGGGGCATGACCGCTCCCTCACCCCACCTTACAGGCACGGGGGGAGGGGCAGAGGGACCTGAACCAGGCCAAAGAGCCGGGAAGAGAACCCAGGTGTCCTAGCTCGGATGCCCCCACGCTGCTCTCACATGCAGCTCGCCTCCCTCCAGAGGGTGACTTTAGCGGGGATGGGGGGGGGCTGCTGCCCCCCAACTTCGAGAGCCAGACCCGCCGCCGGTCAACATCTGGGGACCCCCCCGTCCCCGGGGCTCCCCCGGCCCGGCTCACCTGCGCGGGCGGGCTGCCTGGCCAGCGCTCCCGGTCCATGGCATCCGCCTGCAGCCCGCGGGGACCCTGCCCGAGCCCCGCGCCTGGCCCCGGCTCCAGGGGGCGGCGTCCCGGGCCCGTGGTCGGGGCGGGTCAGCGGGATGCGGGCGGCCCCCTGTGCGCTGCGCGTCCGCCGCCCCCTGCGCCCGTCCCCGGCTGAGCGCGGCCGGCAGCCCGGGCCCGAACCCGCAGCCCCGGCCGGCTGCCTTGGGACCCGATTGGCGGCTCCGGCTGACATCAGCCCGGGCTCGGCCAACCGCGGGCCTGCGATGTGATGTCACGCTCCTGAGCCCGCCAGCTCGCCGTGCGGGGCCGGGGCGCCGGGCTCCCACGTGCACGCGTGGGTCGTGCACACACACAGCCACAGCCACACACACACACAGCCACAGCCACACAGAGCCACACGGGTCGTACTCACACAGCCACACACACACACACATACGGGTCGTACACACAGACACACACACACACACACACACACACCCCGCCACAGACACACACACACACACACAGCCACAGCCACACACACACACACACAGAGCCACACGGGTCGTACTCACACAGCCACACACACACACACACACACACACAGCCACACACAGCCACACGGGTCGTACTCACACAGCCACACACGCACACACCCCGCCACAGACACACACACACACACACACACACACACACAGAGCCACACGGGTCGTACTCACACAGCCACACACACACCGCCACACGCCACACACACACACACCA